TAATAATATATATATATATATATATATATATATATATATATTAAATCACTAAGGCTAGTCTAATAGAAGAAGAATTAAAATAATTGTTAAGTCAAAAGATGATCTTAGATTTCTTAGACTATTAAATTTAATGGTAACAAATTCAAATGTTTTTAAGAAATAAGATTTTCAAATTATACTATAAGATGAATAGTGATAACATGATTAATTATTATAACATTAAGTCTCTAAGATGAAACATTTTATCTATAAGACAAAAGTTTTATATTTATATCATTGTTTAATAATTGAATCATGTTTATTACTTAATATATAGAAGGGAATAAAGAGCTTCTTTGCAAGGAACACAACCATATTTTTGCATCAGAAAAAAAGATTAGCATATCTCTTGAAGCATGTAAAATCTCAGAGAAAGTTATTTTCAACTAACACACACATAGTTCCTATTTTTTGATACCTAAAAAATGGTAAGTAACTTTTTTGATTAAATAAGAAGTGATAATTTGGTAAAACACATTTAATGCTTACATTTAATGCACCAATTGACACTTCTCGCCATAAGAAATGAAGATAAAGATAGACATAATAAGCTTGTGAGAGACGCTCAATGATTTGTAATGGTCATTTTCATGAAACACGTATATATAAAAAGTTTGAAGACTCAAAAAGAGTAAGAAACAATTATTGTAAAAAGATATATTCATTCTTTCTGTAAAACTTTATATTTAATTGGTTGTATCATGTCTTAATAGTAAAATGAAATAACATAATTATTTCATAGCTTTAACTTTATGTTATTTATTTGAGCATGAAGATATTGGACGATAAAAGAACACTTGATTGTTAAAACCTGAAGAGACTTTGTACTGAAAGAATATTTTGATAGTTATTTGAAGATGCAAGTTAAAAAACACTTTGGTTGATCCAGAAGTGACTTCTAAAAAAATACTTGTATTTTTAAAAAAGATAGTGAAACTTGATCAGATTGATAAAAAATTAGACATAATTTTGATAATTAACGTGAACCAATATAAAAATATCGTGTGTTCTTTTTACTTAACTTTTAGTCTACACTCTTAATGTTTTGATACTATTTCATTATTTTTAAAAAGTATTAAAATTTTAAATTTTGTGTTGATACTATTCACCCTTTCTAATCTTTCTTTTCTCCATAGTGATATACATAATAGTTTAGGTTCTAACTTTGGTATGTCACTATAATTCCAAAAGCTAAAAAAATATTAAAAAAGTCATTCACATAAAAAGCATATTTATAGATAATATTAATTTTTTTTTATCATTTAATAAAATTTTATTATTATACTATAGAGGATGTGAATTAATTAATACAAAATTATTTTAATTTAATAAGTAACTTGAAAAACAACAAGACATTATAACATACTTTTCAAAAGATACATTATAATATATGTTATCTATAAAAAAATATTTATTCTACATAAATAATTTTTTTAATGAATTCTTATATATTTAAACACATAATTATTTTGTGTGATTATGTTTTTAAAATTTATTCTTCATTTTAAAGTTCCTTTTAATTTCTTGATCAATTCAAATTTTTTATTTATTATGTAAAAATTAAAATTTAAATATTTTTAAAATAAATTATCAATATTTATATATCATAATAAGTTATTTATCTTAAATTAAAATATAATTTATATATTTTAAAAAATTTATTTATACAAATATAAAATATAATTTATATATTCAAATATTATAAAATTTAGTTATATATAATAAATATTTAACCCGTAAATTAATTTTTATAATAACTAATTAAACCTACGTGAATTTGTGATTGGTAGATTGCTAATTTTGTTTTGTTTTGTTTTTTTTTTTGAAGAGAGATATTAAAGTCAATTTGAAATCGGTAGCACGATCACATTGACACCAGACTAGGTTGCAGTTGTTGGTAGGGTGCACCAGCCGCAGACGATCCCCCCTGGCTCATTCTCTACTTGGTCATTCTCCACTCACTCCACCATCTTCTCTCTGTTGTGGTGGCGACTCAGAAAAACCAACCACACCTCCAATTACCCAAACTCCGAACCGCATTAACCGATAAAAGATCCGAATGAGGGATCCCAATCTGGAGCTGCAGGAATCCGGTTGGGAGGAGCTGCGCAAGGAAGCGCGCAAGATCGAGGGCGATCTCGACGTCAAGCTCTCTTCCTACGCCAAACTCGGCGCTCGCTTCACCCAAGGAGGAGGTTCCTTCCATTCACTTTATTCAATCTTAATTCAACATATATGTACTGGAATCTCAATCGCCTTTTATGTTTTCCGAATCTGAATTATGAACAATGTTGAAGGCTTGCTAATCTCATCTTACGCCCGAGTTACTTCTTCTTCATGTTTTTAGTTTCCGATTTGCGGCTGATTGTTACTGCATTTCGGTCGTTTACATGTGGTGATTTAGTTTTTTTATGTAGGCGTTGCGCTGTTGAAATGGAAATGTTTCTCCTGCGCGTGAAATTGTATACCTGATGGGTTGATTTTTGTTAATTAATAGCGGTTGACGGACTGATTTTTTGTTAAAGGATGAATGTTGTTAACCAGTAATTATTAACTCGTTGATTTTTTCTAGGAATGTGATTGTGATCAAGGTTTCAATTGCTATCGCAAATATAATTTGAAATCTGGATTGTGATATTTGCTTTTTTATCTTGTGGCACAGCGATTTATAGCCTTGAAATGGTTGGTTTTGAAAGAAAGCTAAAGTTTCAAAAATTGAGATGGGGGAGAAATTATGCGTTTCCTGATTAAGACATTAAGCACTTTTTATAATTAAATGTATTTAGTGTGGCAGTGGCTGTTCTCGATGTTTGCGGATTATGAGAATATATCTCTTGTTATTAGGTTATGTGGATAGCGGTTCACCACCTATTGGGTCCAGTAGTAGGTCTTGGAAGTCCATGGAAATGGAAATTCAGTCTTTGCTTGAGAAGCTGTTGGACATAAATGATTCAATGAGTCGATGTGCTGCATCTGCTGGACCAGCTACTTCTGTGACTCAAAAGTTGGCTAGGCACAGAGACATTCTTCATGAGTTTACCCAGGTGTGTTGACTTTACACTTGTATTTTGAATGATTTAGTTTTAAAGTTTCAACTTTCTGACAGTTCAAAAAGAATGAATCTCTAGCAATGTAGATTGTTACAGAAGTGCTTGTAGTTTATTACTATACATGACATTGCATATTCTTTGGTTAGTGGCTGGATGGATATTGCATTGGATTTGACATTTTGAATTTGTAGATTGTAAGAATTGGTGTGTTTTTCCATCTCACTTGCAATGCTTGGTGCAGGTTTAGAGAGAAAAGAAAAGCATATTCTCTTAATAATATGTGACCATACACACTAGGATTTATGGTTAGAATTAGAATTTAGAAATGGCTAAGGAGAGATAATCAATCTGCTATGAATTAGGAGAAAGTAAATGAGCAAATTAAGAGTTAAGAGCAGAGCAAAACAAGGGATAAAAGACAGCATACCTAATGGCAATTGAATCATTGTAGTTAATTTTTTTTTGGTAACTAACAAATTTTCCTAAAATTCCCAAGAATTATTTCCTATCCAACTCCAACAGCCCTCTCAAGTTGGTTCATAGATATCTTTTGTGCCCAACATGCTTACAAAAAGTTCAAATTTAGGTCAGAAGAATCCTTTGGTGCAGATATTTGCCACTTGTTGCATAGTTAGACACAAGTTCCATACAAATAGCTCCATCATCTATCTTCTCTTTTTTGAAGTGTCTCTCGATTTTCAACTATTGGTGGGTTATATCCATGGCTCTCTATTCTGTTTCGGCACTGCTCCTTGCTACCATGTTCTATGTTTCTTGCTCTGCTAACCAACTTACACCATACAAACATGCAATAATCTGTTACAAATCTTCTGTCAGTGATAGACCCTACCCTGTCAGCATTTATGTAGGCTTTGGTGATCTATTTTGTGGCTTTTTGAGCAAATGATATTTGCCTATGTCCTCTTCAAGTATCTCAAGATCCAATATACTACCTTCCGGTGTTCTTGATAGATTGAATGCTTGAATCGACTTGTTAACCTTACTGACAAAATATAAGGCCATGTATGTCACAAGTAAATCAGTTCTCCTACTAATCTTTAACATTTAGAAGTGTCTACAGTCCCCTTACTTGTCATCCTTGAGCTTTTGATTTGGGTCAATAGGGTTGTACATCTTTTGAGAGAGAACAACCTTTTATTTACCTTGCAATCTCTACTTTAAGTGTTGTGATTAGAGTTAGATGCAATATTTTCTATACTTGAGAATGTTTTAGGGATTATGAGAATGAATTTTCTGCATAGCTTGAGTTAGTTACTCAGCTGATATTGTATTTATATGCACTTTTTCAGTGATTACAATTATGTTTATGGGAAGATTAATGTTGACTCTAGTTGCTAAGTACATGTATCTTAGGTTATAAATACAACAATAGCTAGTCTAAAAATTAATTGCTACAAATTCCAATCAGCATTTAATTACTGATTTAATTCCAGTACTCCTTCTCGAGATGGAGCATATAAGTCAAATGCTACAAGCCGGGAACAAATATACTGAATTCTTGGTCTGCTAGTTGATCATTATAACTAACAAATTCGGCAATGACTTCTTTAAAGAACTTTCTCCCAAAGTAAATGACAAACAATTTCAATATGTTTATGCCCTTATTGGAACAATGAATTGGAAGCTATATTAAAACCTGGTTTGATTTTGAGTGTCCCCAAACTTCAATTCTTGAAGTTGTATAATCCAAATGAGTTAAAGCATGGCTAGAACCGTAGCCCTATATTCTACTTTGCACTAGATCACACAATCACATTTTTCTTTTTACTCTTCCAACAGACAATATTTCTTCCAATAAAGACACAATACCCTAAAGTGGACTGCCTATTAATAAGTGATCCTACCCAATTTGCATCACAAAAACCAATTATTTGAGTGTTTCATTGGTCCTCATAAGGTAGAAATTGTCCTGGTGCCTTTTTAACGTGCCTCAAAATTCAGATCGCTGCATCCCAATGATCATTATGAGGAGAGATTACACAAATTGCCATACCACTACTAATACAAAGGAAATATCTGACCTCTTAATAGGGAGGTAGATGAGTTGTCCAACTAATCTCGTATATCCTTTTGGATTTGAATAAGGCTCCCCTTGACTAGGTAGTAGCTTTTTTTTAATATTTAATAGGTCCATGGGACAATCAATCGATCTATAATCCATGATACCAATTTCTTTAAAGTATGTGTAATGTGTACTTGCTCTATGAGATGATAATCCCCAAATTCTTGTTTTAAAAATGGCCACATGAATGCTCCTTTAGTTGAGAGTTTTTCATGATCATTTTCTATCAATACTAAATCATTTAAATTATCCACCAAGTAATCAAATTTATTTAGGGGAGTATGGTGATAGAAGACTAAGCAATTTGTGTCATTGTGTTCCAATCCAAAAACTTGAACAACAAAACTAAATTTGGAAAATCTAGCTTGTGGTGACTATTTAAGACCATAGCGAGATTGTTGCAGTTTGCATACCAAGCTAGATTCCCCCCAAGCAACAAAGCTAGATGTTTGCCTCATATAAATCTCCTCTAAGTTGTCCATGAAAAATTGCTTTTCTTGATATCTATCTAATTTAGTGGCTTATGAAAAATGGCACCATGGCAAAAAGGGTCTGATTCGCTAAAGTGAACAACTCTCTTTAGAAGACAAAGTCAGTAATCTCAATCGTTGATGAGAAAATCAACAGTTGATATTATGTGCTCATGCATAACAAATCATGGGTGCATTAGAATATCAACCGTTGATTTTCTTATCAACTTTGCTTACTTCACCTTTACTCACTGTAGAGGAGCCAAATTTTGGAAAGAAATAATAAGACAACAATGATTTTTGCCATTGGGAAAAAAGTATCTCAATAGTCAATACCACAACAAATCTGCTAAAAATTAGTTGAAAACAAAGGACCAAATCAAGGGACAAGAACTGAGCAAAAGAAGGTATTAAAAAAGCCTACCTAACAGAAAATGAAGTGGATCATTTTATAGGGAGTTGTTTTTGTCCTTTTAAATAAAAGATGTTGGATCTTGGCCATTGTGCCAAATAAAAATGAAATAGTTATAAGTAATTAGCGAGGTGCTGTCTTTTATATTTTTCCTATTCTCACTCCATTAGTAGGGTGTGTGTGACCCACTGAATTACTAATTGAATATTTTCTCTCAATAAAATGATGTTTGTTACAAGTATTCTTTGCCCTGAGTCTTAATTTCAACAAAGTTTCCAGTACCAATTCTTTGTTATCATATATGATGTCATGTCAAGCCTGTAACATTGGGTAAACTGCTGAATCAGATGGCTGGTGATTCTTAAAATCTGTCACTACATATGCCTTGTGCTATTCTGAGTAAACTGAAAGAATTGAAAATGGAAAGAAGTACCGAGGTCTTTGTCTGAGATGTGAAAGATGGAAATGAGTAGATTGAATTTGATATTGATTCCATTTCTTTAGAATGGTTTGACTGACAATAATGAAGAATAAGAATGTCCTTGGACTGTGATTATTCTCTTGTCCCTATTGTAGGCTTTTTAAGCAAATAATAATTAACAAGGATTGAAAAGTAAATTACTAATCTATCTGGTCTGAGCTCTTATGAATGTGTGCTGTAGGACTAAATATGGGATAAAATCATAAGATATATCCTCCTATAGTAATAACAACAAAGCCTTATCCCACTAGGTGATGTCAGTTATGCAGATCATACAACGCCAATCAGCTTGGTTACACACCAAAGTTTTAGAGATGTTATTTACCATGAAATCCCTCTTGACAACTTCCTCTAATCTCTTTCTTGTTCTCCTTCTCCTCTTCATAGGAATAAAAATCATGCAATCTATTCTTCTCACTAGTGCCTCCCGTGGCCTTTGTACATCTCCAAATCTCTTTAACTGCCTTATATTCCCATGGTAAGAAAAAACTGATCTTCTGATATACTTGTAGTCCATTTCATGCTAACAAAACATATGAGGCTACTATGTGTAATGTTTTGGTGCATTTGTCAAATTTCTAGTTGAACCCCCTTATCATCCTTTTTAAGCAGTGAAAGTTGTATTAGAAAGTGTTGAAAGAGAGAAAAGCAGATGGAAGAGATGTTGAACTATGTGTCTAATCTACACAACGGAGTCCATTTTATATAAGGGTGATTGCAACAAATAAAAAATAATTAACGGAGATTTATTCTTAAATACATGATATGATATGCCTTTAATCACATTCTAATAAATCTGATTCTAATAAGATATGCCTATAATTACAAACATCCTTATTAAATAAGGAAATAAATCATAAAATAAAAGAAGAATAAATCCTATGAGATCATCTAAGATACTCGAAAATATTCAATGATATAAAAGTGTTATCATCAAATATTTCTCAATATTTTTACAGAAAGTAAACTCAATTTTTCTGCTATGAAATTGAGCAGTGTTCTACGGGCATTAAGGCATTTTAACTTCAGTTTTTCTCATGGTGATCTAACTGTACATGCTTTAAACAATTCCTTCAATGTGTAATGCACACCTATCATACCATGATTTATTTAATCTTTGTCACTTTGACTTGATATATTGTGGCCAAGTCCTACCTACTTTTATGCTAATTTTTAGTTGAAAAAATTATACAGGAATTAGAAAGGTTTTAAAAATTAGAATTTACTGCAATGTATTGGATATGGAGACATTAAAAAATTCTATTAATTTTTAATTCTCTTCAGGAATTTAGGCGTATCAAGGGGAACATAAACTCAATGAAGGAACATGCGGAGCTTTTGAGTTCTGTCAGGGATGATATTACTGACTTCAAGGTGAATCATGAGTATGATTTAAATTAAATTACACATATATTTTCTCATAGTTGTACTAGACTTACCTTCTTCTGGCAGACATCAGGCAGTATGTCACCGAGGATGCAGTTACTACGTGAGAGAGCTGCTATCCATGGAAATATATCTCATGTAAGTATTTATTCTAGGAAGTATAATAAATTTGTGTTTCTTCTAATTCTCAATTGGTGAACATTTATTTATTGGCCAGTGGTGAATGCTAAATAGGCATTGATCCCTTGAAAGTTGCATCTAAGGGGACAAACTAGGCTCTTTCCTCATTAGTCGGGTTTGCACAAAATTTGAACTATTATCATACAGCCAGATGTAGCTAAGATTTGTCATATGGTGTCTTTTGTTCTTTTGTACAATTTTTTTTTTTGCTGTATATCATATGGTGTCTTTGAAATCACATCCAAGGTTTAAACTAAATTCAGTTGCTTCCCAATGTATAAATTTTAACTGGAGATTTAGATATTCAGTATCCCAGATTCCCAGTAGTACTGAAAGTATATTCCTTTTTTTTTTCAATACCCATATCCTTTTCCATATCTCAATTATTCTTATTGAAGTTCCATCTAGAATTGGCTGGCCACACTGTGGCACCCACTATTGCATCTTTGCAAAGTTATTGGTTCTTGCATGATGTTTAGTTTGATATAGTTAATTCTTAAAGCATATTGTTGGATTTATGATTTTAAATCCTCAGTTTTTAGTACTGCATTTATCTGTACATGAAGAATATTTATAACAAGATTTTTTTTTTTTAAATCTTGAATATGTTTTGCTTTATATCTTTTTAAGATTTCTCCACTTGATGCTGACATAATGTCATAATTATGGGTCTCTTATGGCTACTCTTTTCTTTCCTGCTCTTATTAAACATGACTCTATTATCCTGAATTTTAAGGAGTCATGATTCACTTTCCCCGCATTTTTCCAGATAGATGATGTGATTAGTCAAGCTCAAGCAACAAGATCTGTGTTGGGTTCTCAGAGACAATTGTTTGGTGATGTTCAAGGAAAAGTGAAGGTTCTTGGTGACAAGTTTCCCATCATTCGTAGCCTTCTTGGTATGTTTTACCTTTTTATCTTTCTAATTTTCCCTTGATTTTAAGATTTACCTCTCTTTGTTGACCAAATACGTGCTTTTGTAGGTTCAATAAGAAGGCGGCGCTCAAGGGATACTCTTATCCTGTCAGCGGTGATTGCTGCTTGTACGTTGTTTATCATCATTTATTGGCTCTCAAAGTAACAAAAATAATTTGTAACACACAAATTATGAATTATGGTACTCCTATCCATCGAGTTTTTCTGCTTTTGTCTGTTTATTTTTTATTTTGTTTTTAGGGAGGGGGAAGAGTAGGATTTTTTTTTTCATTGCACTGTCTAGGAGCCTCATATTTGTATGTCAGTTGTTGGCATTAAAAAAAATCTTATTTTAATACAATTTTTTATATAAATAATTATCAAATAGTAAAATTCGACATTGTTTCTTGTCTTTTGTCAACTAGATTCTAGTTTTCTGGTTTTTTTTTTCTTTTGGGGAAGGGGCGGCTACTTAGGAGCTTAATTGGTATTATGTAAAGTTAATTTAATAATTCCTAATAACAAAGTAACCTGCTGGGCGTTAGGCTGATATACTTTCTGCAACAAACAACACGCATTTAACATACTTTCTTACCGTTGCCTCAATAAGTTACTTGAGCAAAAAAAAATGTGTATAGGTAGAAACAATTATAAGCTAGTCGAAATGTGAGCAATCTTCTTTTTGCTTGTCTTTGAAAACCTATTTAAAGCATGTTAAAGTATATAATACGAAAATTTTAGATTTTCATGTTAATTTCAATATATAAAAGTAAGAGTTAGTAGTTAGCAATCTTTTATATCTCACGCATAAATGCTTAATATTTGAGATTGAGATCATATCAGGATATCCACTTATATCCTTTGGTAGCATGGGGTTCGGTCATTGGGTTATATTTGTCAAATTACTATGAGAAGTTAACTTGAGATCTGTGTTAGGAAAAAGGTATGGGGATGGTATGTCCACCACAGGAAGGATGAATAAATAAAGTTGAGTAAGTTAAGAAGGGTGACTTAAGCAATGAAAGTTGACATCACTGTAGAGTGGGACTGGGAACTGCACACTCCAAAATTTGTAGTTAGCAAGCATTTGTTGGATTTTATACAGCACATGATTTGATATTGAGAAGTCTGTACACGTGAAATCACCACTACTACTACTTGCTTCTTGTCTCTATTTGTCCATAAGACCAGCTTGCCGTGCATGCACTTGCTGGCAATTTTTCTTTCCCTGCTGGTGGCGTGGTCCCGTCATGTCCTCATGCTGTTGTGGTCCTTGTTCAACATTCCAATTGGCTTAACCAAGTAATGTGTCTAGTAACACATTATAGATCTCCCCCAGCATGTGCAATCTCATCTTGTTTCCTTAAAAAATCTGAAACATGTATTTAATCAGTACGCTATTATCATGTCGGCCTCCTAGATTATGTGGACTTTAATGTTCGCAACATTGTGGGTCACTTGAATTATATCTCTGTTCAGAGCATTCATTGAAATCATAATGTGGCTCAAACCTTTTATTTCAAGTGTTCCACACTCATGCAGTAATTTGTGTATAATCCACAACTAATTGTATATATCCCTGAAATTGTCGATGCAGACTTCATAACAGAGGGAGGCGATGGGCCATAGAAAGTACATAATGACGCCACATCTGAGCACAATGTTTTCTTTTTTTCTTTCTGAAACCTGAAATGAAATTTATGCATTTATATGTATAATACATGAATGTGTGTCATCATATTTGTTATAGCTTAATTAGCGGTTTTGAATATGTAAATAAGTTAAATACTCAGAAGAAAAGACTTTGCTGCACATAATATTATTCATCTTGAACATAATTGTCTTTTGTTAACAGTACTTGTAGTCTCCCGAAAGAAATAAACTTGCAAAAAAATAATGTTAATAATTATGAATTATTAGATTTTTTTTTTGTAAATTAAGATATTTCTTAGTTAAACATTAATGACTAATTTCTCGAGATATTGAAATTTATTTAAAGGATTAATTCTTTTGGACAAATATTTTTTATGCACAACTGGTTATTTTATGAATTATTAGATGGGAATGTGGGAAGTTATAAAAGGAAATAGTCAGCAATAGCGGCTCCACTGGGTCTGAACTTTGGAGAGATGCATTGCTTCTGGAAAATATAAAACTAAAAACCCCATTAAGAAGCTGACTTCGTACCATTTATGGAGAATCACAACACGTGGTGATTCAATTTAGATTAGAAGCGGGAAAGAGAAGGAAGTTGGTTTGATCATTGATGTCTAGTAAAAACATGGCTAAGCAAAGGCTGAGGAAGATTAGGTACCTCTCTGGTAATCTATATGTATAATATTGTAGCATACAGTAGCTTAGAGCATAGGGCTTCTTAGGTAGTTTTGTGTGGTAATGGTAGCTGAGGACCAACTACGCCTGTACGTTCTTGTGTAACAGTAGGGCTGTACAATGCTCCAGCGAACATAAATGTCAAAACAGTGATAGCTCCATAAATGTCATCTTTATTGGATTTCTACCCACAGCCACAGGTAAGAAAGAGAGTCTGTGTACATGTATCTTATATATATATATATATATATATTCCTTTTAAGTGTGTTCGGTAAAGAGAAAAAAAGGTAGAGAATAATAAGGGAAAAATAAGATAAGAGACATGCAGGAAAATAGGTAAGAAAAAAAAATAAAGATTATTTGGTAAAAGAGAAATAGAAGAAAAATAAGGTAAAGTTTTATTTTTTATAAATAATTTATTTTAAAAATAATAAATAAAATAAATGAATATATATATATATTTATTTATAATTTTATAATAGAAACATTTATTATTATTTTGAAAATTGTATTATTTATTATTTTTATTTTAAAATAATATATGTATAGACACATAAATTAATTAACACACATATAGGGTCATCATCTATTATACTAGGTTTAAGTTTAAAAATCTATACAAAATTTATATTTTTAATAATACATATTTAACTAATGCAATCATTAAATTATGTTATATTATACTTATCATATATATCAAATTTTGCAAGATTTTTGAACTTTTTACTATATATTATCCAAAAATAAATATTTACACATGTTTTAAGTATAATATTATATGTTAACATAAAGTAATATGATGAATTACAAAATAATTTTGAAATAATCTAAAATTTGATATACATGATCTTGAATATCATATCACATAATTCAATGGTTTAATTGATTAAATTTGTTTTATATAAAAAAAATTGTTCAAGATATAAGATTTGATATAAGTTTTAAAATTATATAAGGTGTTAATGAATCCTAACACATATATAAAGGAGGAATAAAATGACATCGATATAACATTTAATCTTTTATCAATTATTATACCGTTCAATAATTTTTAATTAAATGTGAATGTTAGATTGAAGTTCCTTACTCCTAGATATATATATATATATATAATTTTATATTAATCCAAAATGATTTGATGTCTCATTCTTATAGAACAAAATTAACAATACATGTTACAAAATATATTAAAATATGAACACTTTGATTAACTTTAAATTGTTGTTCAATTTTAACAAAGTTTGATATATACTTACAAGGTGATATAAAGTTAAAGTTCAACGGTTGAATTAATAAAATTCACATTTAATATAAAATTATTGAATGATATAATAGTTGATAAAAATTACATCAATGTCATTTGATCTCTCCTCATATATACATACATACACACACACACATATATATAACTTCACTAAATAACTCATGATGTATATTAAATTTCAATGATCCAAAAATTTAATTAAAATTATATATAAAGTCTACAAATTTTAAAGATCATATGGTACTTCGTTATATAGATTCAAATCAATGTATAAAATATTTTTATGATTATCTATCAATTTGAATTAATGAAATGAATTATCAAATATTTTTAATTTTTTTAAAATTGTAGACTTGATTTATTGGAGCGTTAAAATTCAATAAATACCATGAATTATTGAGTAAAGTAACTTTTTCCTATAATTATTGAGTATAATACACACAAATACAAAGTCAGCATTCATTTATACAAGGCGTAAGTCTAAAAGCTTAGGCAAAATCCTATACACTTAATAATTTTTTGTATAATACAAATTTAATCAATCTAATCGTTAAATTATGTAATATTAGACAGAAGATCATATATATCAAATTTCACACAATTCCAAAATTATTTAGTAATTGATCATATTGCTTTATTTTAGTGTATAATATAATATTTAAAATGCATGTAAACATACATTTTTGGATTACATATCTAGAAAATTTTAAATCATGTGAAATTTGATATATACGATCTTGATTATAATATTACATAATTCAACGATTGAATTGATTAAATTTGTATTACAAAAAAAGTTATTAAAAATATAATATTTGGCATAAATATTTAGACTTACAACTTGTGCCAACAAATCCTAACTTTGCATGAGTGTGTATTTGAGGAGGGATCTATTTACCCCAAGAGTAAGTCTTGGTAGATTTATTCCAACTTGTGTTTTACATCAAATTTTAATTATTCAACCGTTAAATTAAAAATTCTTAATGTATGAATTAGGTATAATTTTTTTTTTAAAAAAAATTGAAAATCATATGATACCTTATTTTATAAATTCAAATTAACATATAAAATACTTTTATAATTATTTGTTAATTTGAATTAATGTAACAAAATATCAAATAATTTTCAAGTTTTTTTAAAAATTTTGTTGACTTGATATATGCATTAATTAAAAAAATTTAATTTAACGATTGGATCGTTAAAATTTAATGAAGAATATGAGTTATTGAGTATAGTAAGTTTACTAAAACTTACTGTTAGAGTAAAATGATATCTCGTGTATATATATATATATATATATATAAAACAATATGCTTTATTATTACAGTTGACTTAAATAATTTATATAATACACTTTTAATTTAGATATATTATATTATATTATATATATATATATATATATTGAAAGTAAGTTTATGCTTAATTCAACCTTAAAAATGACTTGTTAGTCTCAATTTAACTAGTTTAATTTTACCTTTAGATAGTGATTTATACACCAAATTGTGTTATATATAGAGATTCAATGAGGCTAACAATAGTAGTGAGACTTCTAACACTTTTACCTTATGTACTAGTATAGTTTACATTTTCAATAAATCTTAAAAGGGATTATTCAATGTATTTACTTAGTAAAAATTCAACCATTTGGATAGAAGTATCGCATCACAAATCAAAACTGATTAATAAGTAAAACTAAGTTTGGAAGCAGTTACAACGAACTAAGAGTTTTGATACTAAAATGAATTCAACTAACAAAATCTAAGTCCTAACGTAAGATAACAAACAAAAAAATATAAACTCCTATCTATTGCCCCGATGTCACATCTAGGGATGGCAATAGGGCTCATGGGGGCGGGTAATAGTAAATTTGTCCCCGCCCCGCTGTATGAAAATTGGCTCCATACCCACCCCATATCCACGCGGGTATTCATTAAGCGAATATTCATGAATTTCTTGAATACTCACGGATGTCCATGGATATTTATAATTTTTTTAAGAAATAAAAAAATTATATTACAAATAATTTTAATTTATATTTAATGTCATTGAAATATTAAAAATAAAAATTCAATGTTAATTTTGAATTTGTATTTAACGTTAATTCTGTTGAAATAATAATAAAAATGCAAGATAATCAATAACTTAAAATACATCAATCTTACACAAGTAAGTGAAAGTCTCATATCACAAAGCTACAATAATTCAATCTCATAATTTAAAACATAAGTAAACAACTTAAAATACATAAATCTTATTGGTCCAATCAAAGCTAGAAAATTAATCAAATTACATCCAACATAATTCTATTGAAAGAAAATAAGACGAGAGTGTAGTTTTAGGATTATGTGGTACAAGGATAATTAGGATATTTAATAAATATTATTAAACAGGTACCCGCGGGTATGGATATCATCATCACGCCCCCGCCCTATTTATAAACGGGTAAAAAGTTATCCGTCCCCATTATCTGCGACTACCCAATTAACCTATCCATTTATTACCCGTAGCGGATTTTACCCACAGATACATGCGGGTACGGGTATTTTTATCATCCGTAGTCACATCTAATCAGAACACTCCCAAACCTCCTCATAATTTTCATAATTAGTTTCACCTACAAGTATACACCAAAACAAACAACAAAGAGAAGAAAGTTAAAAACATCTGATTATTGGTGCAAGTTATGAATTAATTATAAAACTTATTTAATTAATTAAAATATGTTTTTAATATTTTATAAAATTATAAGGATGTTACAAGACTCACACAAATTATGTCATATTCATTATTTTTATTAAACATAGTAATTTGAAAGTATTTAATATTTCATTTCATTAATTTACAATGACAAAATAATCATAAAAATATTTTATATGTTGCTTTGAATCTATATAAAGAAGTATCATATAGTTCACATATTTTGTAAAAATAAATAAAATTGATCAATGTATAAAGAATTTTTAATTTAACGATTTAATTGTTAAAATTTAATATAGACTATAAGTTATTAAATAAAGTAAGTTTATCAAGATTTACTCTTAGAATAAATAAATCTCTTCTCTATATATATAACACTATATATTGAAAGTAAATTGACATAAACCCTAATAGTGTGTTTGGATGAGGAATTTTACAAATTCAAGAAATTTTAAATTCTTGGTATTTGAATTACTTTGATTTCAATTTCTGTCATTCTTAAAATATTTTGT